AATACCTGAGGATCAAAGAGCAAAGAAGGTGAAAGACTTGAGCATGGATTGGGATTCTCCATCAGTTGAGAGTGTTGGGAGTGCAATGGTGCATTCAGTCTGATGTATTCAAGTTCAATATTGTAATCAAAGACAGACCTCTGACCAGAAGAGGATTCCTATCCATGATTAATTCTATCTACAATACATTGGGAATTGAGTCCTGTAGTGTTTTCGGCAAAAACAATCTTGCAAGATATCTGCAAAGGAGATTTAGGATGGGATGATGTCTTGCCTGAATTGGTTGTTCAAAAATGGACCAGATGGCTGCAAGAACTTCACCATCTGGAAAGTTTTGAGCATGCAAGATGTTTAAAACCTCCAAACTTTGGTGACATCAAAAACGCAGAGTTACATCATTTTTCTGATGCGAGCAAGGATGGATATGGAACTGTGACATACTTGCTTTTACGCAACATGCATTCTCAAGTACATTGTGCTTTTATCATGGGAAAATCAAGAGTAGCTCCGATGAAGTCTGTTACCATCCCTCGTATGGAGCTCAATGAACTTGAAAAGCTTGAAATGGATGACCCTGAGGTGAAGAAAAGCATTGAGATGAACTCTGTACAGCTCAAAGACGATGATGTGCTTTCAGGTTTAATCTATCACTTTTCTTCTAGGTTCCGTTTAAAGAAAGCAGTGGCTTGGATTTTGATATTTAAGAATCTGCTCTTATCTTTTAGTCAGAAGAGGAAACAACTGAGACTTGCTTTTGCTCATTCTGATTTAAATGGACAACAAAGAATCTCGGTGGAAAGAGAAATGGAGATTTTCAAATGTCAACTTGAACAATCTCACCTCTCAACAGAAGAACTTGAGTCTGCTGAATTGGACATTATTAGACTCTCACAAGAAAATATATTTCCTGATGAGCTTGCTAGCCTAAAAAGAGGTGAAAGCGTAAAAAAAAAGTAGCCACATTCATGGACTTTGCCCTGTTGAAGATGAAGATGTTTTGAGGGTTGGTGGACGATTAAGTAGGGCATCAATGCCAGAAGAATCCAAACATCCAGTCATTTTGGCAAAGAATTATCACATCTCAGATATCCTCCTGAGACATATACACCAGGAGGTAGGACATGGTGGTCGTAATCATATGTTGTCCAAATTACGAAAGAAGTATTGGATTACTGGTGTAAGTACAGCAATACGAAGAGTAATGTCCAAATGCATCATCTGTCGAAGATTGAATTCACCTCCAGGATGCCAAGAGATGGCAGATTTACCATCAGAAAGAGTCACTCCGAATGAACCTCCATTTACCCGTGTTGGGGTAGATTATTTTGGACCTTTCGAGGTAAAGAGCAGAAGAAGCGTTGCGAAAAGGTATGGAGTAATGTTCACCTGTTTAGCCATACAAACTGAAGTGGCACCCTTGTTAGACACAGATTCTTTCATAAATGCACTCCGACGTTTCACTGCAAGACATGGACAAGCCAAGGAACTTCGATCTGAGAATGGAAAGAACTTTGTTGGAGCAGAACGTGACCTAAGAGTTGCCATAAAGGAATGGAATCAGTGTAAAATCAATTATGTCCTTCTTCAGAAATTAATTAAATGGACGTTTAACCCCCCAACTGGATCACATTATGGAGGGGCATGGGAGAGGTTAATTAGATCTGTGCGGAAAGTTCTGAATTATACCTTAAAGGTGCAGAATCTGGATGAAGAAGGCCTATACACCGTTCTTTGCAAAGTGGAAGCTATTATTAATGGTCATCCAATCACCTTGGCATCCACAGACCCAAGTGACTTGGAAGCATAAACACCAAACCACCTGTTGCTTTTGAGGACTTCACCATCGTTACCACCAGGAGAATTCAAAAAGGACAATGTTTATGCTCGTAAACGTTGGAAACAAGTCCAGTACATAGAGACAGAGCGCAACGCGTCATAATCTGAAGACCACGCCCACCGGGGGGTGGGGGGGGGGACAATCCAACCGTCTCCATTGACTTTGCATTGCGAGAGGCTGCCTCCTTGTCACCTCCTTGCCTTATAACAAAAGACAGAAAAATGCCTAAAAGCTGCTGTGTGACAAGATGTACAGCAAACAAGCTAAAAAAAACAGAAATACATTTTTATAAGCTTCCGAACCGTAAAATCCAGCCTTTAAGGAGACAAAAGTGGATACAGGCAATAAGGCGTGAAGCATCAGCAGAAAGAATGGGTAAATTGTGGGATCCTGACACTCAGAAAAATACTTTTAATGTCATACACTTCTTTTCTTTTTACAACAAACCATTGTTCAAAATAATAGCATTTATCTGACATAGAAAGCTTTTGGACGAATACCAATTGGCCCAAGCTACAGCTACTTATAGCTAATATAGCTTTCTAATAGCTAACTTGTCCCATTATTTTAGTAACAGTGTGTGTTTTGATCGTAGGTGAAATGATGCTGTTACCTGGTGATTTGATCAAATAGTTGTAGATAGCAGGGTATTTCACGTTGGACCATTCAGTCGGATCATTTTTCCAAAAAAAAAGGAAGGTAAGGAAAAGGGGCACTGACATAGACCAATAAAATTTAACTTCTCAATATATCTCCTCCTCTCAGGTTCACATAGGGTGGTGAAATAAGCAATCAACATGGTTAAAATTATGAATGTTTTTTTTTTTTACAATATCATGTCGCGTTCCAGTGGGCGTAGTTCTCAGAGTAGTTCGAGAACTAGTTGCGCTCTGTCTCAATTGATCCACTTTTAGGTTGTCCTGAAACAACCGTTTTTTTGGGTCGACAGCTTATAAAAATGTATTTCTGGGTTATTTAGCTTGTTTGCTGTACACCTTGTCACATAGCAGCTTTTAGACATTGTTTTGTTTTTTGTTATAAGTCATAAATGACAAGGAGGCAGCCTCTCGCAATGCAAAGTCAATGGAGACGGTTGGATTGTCCTCCCCAGCATGGGCGTGGCCTAAATACGCTGTCTCTATGTCAGATTTGTTCTGAAAGAGATGGGATCAGGAGTACAAATAAAGAAAAGCCATTGAAAGTACTTTTTCCTCACCAATGTTTTATTTTTGCGTCACAAGTGCATAAAGTCTCTGTCTTAGTCTCTCAGCGGCTTTTATGCACTTGCATTAACAGTTACTGTACATTAGGGCTGCAACAACTAATCGATAAAATCGATAGTAATCGATTATGAAATCGTTGTCAACGAATGTCATTATCGATTAGTTGGTCTGCTTACGTCACGGGGAGCGTTTACTGGTGATTGATTGAAACAGGCCAATCATGATGCTCTCTGTCTTACATGCGCTTCATGAGGCACACACGCACACACACGCAAGGTCTCTATCCCTCCGTGCGCGCGCGCTACACGGTTTGGAGCACAGTCTCTTCTGTCTCGCATGCGCGCTCTTGCTTGCGCGCTCTAGATTCCGGGAGTTTGAACTAATTTGCGGGCATCAGGGAGCCGCTATCAATATGCGGGTGACTCCCGGAACTTCCGGGAGACTTGGGATGTCTGTATTTTGTCTCGAGCATCAGGTTGCGCAATCAGTTCGCTCGCACCATAAGTGATGCCGCAGAAGTAAAAAAGCGCTACCGCAGAAATAGGTTAAATTAAAACGGTGTTTACAAAGTGAAGCACTAAATATAAAGGCAGTTAATAACAGCAGCAAAAGATTGTTTTTTAGTCACTGTACTCAGTGGTTTTCAGCAAATGCTTGTGCACTAATGCATCATTTTTCCTGTCCTTTTAATCAAGCCTGTTAGCTGTTACCTCCATTCCGTTCTCTTTTTATAGCATTTGTCTACTATTAGGTTTTAATTGTTTTTCAAACGCGATCTAAGGCGGCTCTACGTTCACATGCTTGTTTTCAGTCTTTCTATATTTATTTTATCAATTTATCCTTATAATTCAATTAATTTTAAATAAAAATTAAATGAATTATATATTTTAGATGTTTTTAGTTTATATCTTCACATCTGAACAACATGTCTGTGTAAATTTGTTTTAACAAAAATTGTTAAAACATAATATATATATATATATATATTTTTTTTTTTTACATTAATCATGGTTGTCAACTTGCCATCAGCAATTATCATTAAAACAATGCAAATATTGATATTAGTAAAACTCAATGTGTGGCTTTTGCACTTTTTAAAGTGATTTAGGGTTTTAATTAGTTATAATAAAGAAAAAAATCAAATTGAATTTTTATCCGATTAATCGAAAAAAAATATCGTCCAATTAATCGATTATCAAAATAATCGTTAGTTGCAGCCCTACTGTACATATAAAAACAGTATTATATAACACAACATAATTACATAACCACAGTGAATAACTGTACAATGGCGAATTAAGGTGTATGAGCATCCCTAACAAAGCATAAATCTGTATTCAGATTTCAGAAGAATCATTTTGACATCTGTAATACAAATGCTGAGGTGTCTCGTCCGTTAGCTGATCTGATATTCACAACTGTAATGAAGATTAACGTAACTTTTAATAAGCAGTGGGAGTTCCCAACGTTAAACAAATAACTATTTAAATGTTTCTGAGGTTTGCATTGTAAGAATATACAGAGATACTTCAGATATAAAAACGCTGACTCGTTAGGTAATTTTTACTCATTGAAACCAGATGATTTCCTATTAATTCAACAAAATGTGAGGGAATACTGGGAATACCAATATGGCACAGGGTGGCTTCAGTTTTTAATGATGACATGAGCAATCCAGTAATTTATATAGATCAGTGGTCCACACACAGTTGGTGTGCAAAATCAGAAAGCCCATTGGTCGCCTTGACAACCTGGTTTTACTTAGACATTTTTATTTTGGTTTAAAAGCTTTTCTTTTCAGAAATATAATAACAACCGAGTTATAATTTGATTATTAGCTAGATAATAAATAGAGGTTAGTACACTGGTGCATCTCATCTATTATTTAGTGAATCTGTACTATTAGTTACACAGCCATTTGTAAATAATCACCACCTGACCTCAGTGGCTCCTTTGAAGCCTGTTGTTGCAGCTGCAGAGATTTCTCCGTTTTAGGTTTTCTTCCTCTGCGCTTTAGTAATGGAATCGGTCCACCTAAATAAGAACAAAGACACACCACATCCATATTTATAGATGTGTTCTTTCACTAAACAAAAGAAAACATCCAAAGATTTTGAAAGGGTAATCTACACCTGCTGATAATACATCTAAACCAGGAGCGCATGAAGTGGGGCTTGAGTTTTCTGTATCAGAGTCCTGTTCAGCTTCAATCTGTGAAAACCAAATCAAATTTTTTTTTTAATTCTAGCAGTTATGTTATGGCCATGAGACCTAATCACAAGCACCATCAGCAAAGTACTGAATGTAACAAACCTTTCTCTTTCTTCCTCTTTTAGCTTTGGCAGAAACATTTGTGGTATCTTTCTGTGATGAGTTCTGGAGACCATAAAAAATTATAAATATCTGCATTGTCAATCCACTGATTTTATACTTAAAGGGGACCCATTATACAAAATTCACTTTTACATGGTTTTTGAACATAAATGTATGTTGGCAGTTTGTCGGGGGGTTATATTTCGCAGTTGGGCCGAAGGTGGGGGAGGGGGGTGGTGTTAGATTGTTATAGATTTCCATGAAATAGTTTCACAACAAGTTACGTTTCGCCAACAGCCTACACGTCCCAGCATAAAAGCTCCAGACAAATTATTAGTTATTAAAGCATCTACGTCCACAAACCACTGTTAATTTTAACAGAAAAGCATACTGTAGGCCTATATGTGATTTGGCATGGCGGCCAATACAAATAATCCTGTGTTTGCTTTGCACCAGACTCGGTTCCAGAATCAAATTACAGATGGTGTTTCTGAAATTAGTGAGGGCATTTTTGTCTCGTCTTTTGCTTTATGGTTATCACTGTTAATCATCGCAATTTCAAGAGTGAATCGCACATTTATATGCGGATGGGCCTATGTTTTGAAGCATGTATATGGCTTGTCAAGCATGGAAAACAAAAGTTTTATTCAAATTCTGACTATATTAAAATAATTATTATATCGCCTAGTCAGGGCGCAAAGAGCTCTACCTTTATAAACATTAAAAGCTGTCACTCATTCATCGCGATCTCACAAAGTTCTGTTTATTAATCAGTGAAGCTGACTACACAATGACTACACAATGAATCTCTTATTTACATAATGTCTACACTTTGTTAGAGAGGATTTGCGAGCGTGCAAAACTCTGTAGTCTTTGGCAAAACTCAGCGCTGGACAAAAACTCGAGCAGTGAGTGGATTCTAACTTAAACACCTCCCATTGCGTTCAAGAAATCAACAAACATGTCTGTGATTGGCTAAATTGCTCACCGCTGCGAAAACACGTTGTAAATGGAATAATTTTACATTTTACATTCTCCGGAGTGCAAACACACACTGTATCGTTTACCAAATTACACGCTAGTTTCAATCAGTCTCCCTCGGTCCGGGCCTGCAGTGTGTACACAACCACCCTATAATGATAAAAATCCACCCACTCCTTATTTTAATCCCATAAATCATAAGCAGTGTCTCAGAACAAGCCGTTTGCAGATTCAGGCCCCGCCCACGACTGCTGACGGACTTAGCATAGACCCTGCCCTGAGCGAGTTGTACACTGTGTCATTTTCTCCAGGCCGGAGTAGCTGTAGCGACAATGTCTCGTAAGTAATTCAGGTGTTTTGTTGTTAGATGTACAGTAAGAGTGAGCATAATAGTCTTCATGTACTCCCGGCATCAGAGCTTTTGAAGAGAATGCGCCCCCATATATCTAAATTCATTTTGAATCTGCCCAAATAATTTTACACCAGACTGCTCTGTGAACAAAGGTCAATAAATACAAAGGGACAATACAAAACACAGGTTTTGTTAAAAAAGTTGTTACTCAAGGATGGATCAGTACCAACTGTTCGTGATCCAGCTTACAGTCTCCGGATCGATACTGGTCTAAGCGCACACTTTATTACAGTTCATCGAAGTGGTTTTACGGATATAAGGTTTACCAGTTTATTTAGCAACCCCCGAAAAGACATACGGTCTGTATATATTTGTTTACTGTTAATTGTAACGAGTGTTTCTGTGTAATTCGCTGTGTATGTTGATGATAATGCAACGGATAGAGAGAGTTTATGGATAAGATTTTAATGAGCACTTGTACTGTGTTTTATTCAGCTCTTACAAGGATTTTCTGGGGTGAAACAGACGCTTCATCTTTTGTGTGAAGTACAATAAACATAATAAAACTAGTAAAGTTTTGGCCATCATTCGGACGCTACAACAGGCTTGTACTAATTGTGGATAAAAGCAAGATGACAACATAAGTTTTAACCGTAATTAAACTAAACTATCTCCATACAGCATATATTCTCAGGCTCTATAGGCATCATTGTCCTACTCCATTTCGAACTGAATACAGCTACTGAGAGTTTCTGACATTGTCAGTGCGTGAGATTGTCCTGACACAGGAGCATGAGCTCTTGAAGCTCGTCCGTCTTCTTGAAAGGGGGCCAAGGGGGAGCAGCTCATTTGCATTTAAAGGGTCACACAAGGGTTGCTCACCCCCAAAAAATGACAATTTTAATTACCAATACAATTTCAATTCTATAGTATAGACTGTCTAACTGTTAAGTTAAAAAAAATTATATATTTATCTCCTCAAAATAAACAGCTGTTACATTAATAAAACATCAAATAAATAGCCTATGCTACATTACAATTTAGTGGATGCCATTTATTGGTAGGCCCAATACTACCAATATTAAGTTGAAAGTGTGAATATAGGTAAAACAATATTTGTCACACTGATTTTTGGGCTCTCTTTACTACCGATATGTCTAGAGTCTAAATCTCACAAGAGAGCATACGATTTTAAACAAAACTTTTAAAAAGTCCTATTCTTTAAAAAAAATGTACAAAAAAAAAAACCCCAGCATTTCTTGTTTTTTGTACATGCTCATTCCAGTAATCTTTTTTTTTTCATTAATAAAATAAAATAAAATTGGTAATATGGTAATATTACAGCTTCTCAAATTACCAGAACTGATTTACGGTTATTTCTCAAAAGGTCCCGTTCACACTAGGGGTTGCACAGACTAGTCAACTAATCGATTTAATGCTCTGCCATGACGCTTTAAAGGCAGGGTAGGTGATTTGCTCCAGAAACATTTTGTTTTGCTGGTTGAAAGTCTCTTCACATTCTGATAGCAATCACTAAGTTAAGTTGTCTAAATGTATTGATATGTATATCGTCCGTGGAAGGCGTAAGACCATTAAATGTTCGTCCAATCATTGCATTCGACCCGAATGCAATGATACAATGTCCTACATACCTGTCAACGTAGGTATCTGATTTAGAACGAGCAGAAATCTGTGAGAAATATAACAACCTAAAGACTAAAGAGTAGGGGTTCGATACGATACAGTGGTGACACGATTCGTTTTCGATACAGAAAAAAAAAAAAAAAAAAAAATTGCCAGAGAAATTTCCTAGATTTTAATTTTTTTTTTATTTATTAAAACTAACATCATAAAGTATGATCTTTTTTACTTTGAACAATGATGGAGCTATACTTGACCCATCTTCTGGGGTGTCTTCTTAGCATTACCAGCATATAAAGCAAAAACAGCTCTGTTGTAGTAGTTATAAACAAAGGTTTATTTTATTTTAGTTTTATTTTAAGTTTGCAAGGCTCTAGACTAACATTTGAGGGCAGCAATTTTATTCATAATGTCAAAATAATTCAAAAAGCAAAACGATTAAAAATTAAATATTTGGGAATGGAAATGGCAGCCACCTACTGGTTACAATGGTAATGTAATGTCTTTTTATTTTTAAATAAAAAAAATTAAAGTGAGTTTTTCTACATCTATAAACTTTTAGTTTTATAAATGGGGTTAATCTTTGAAGGATGAACAAATAATGTTTTGGTCATTACATTAAAAATAACATTTAAATATATGATAATATTTGAGTTTTGAAAAATAAAAAGATATGTGACGTACTTGAAAGCATTTTACTATTCCTGCCAAACTTCCATGGTTACAGACTACAGTTAGTGTTACTACATTAAATCCATCGTGAATGTTGCTGATTTGTGGACTTAAAGCCTATAACTAGTTCATACATGGCACAATGTTTCTCCTGGTTTCCACATCAGCGCTGTTTGATCTAATAGAGATCTACGTTAATAACAGAGAAATTTGAATGCTTCTCACCAGATCTCGCAGCGATGTTATAATTTCTGTGGCGAATTCAAATGCTTTCTTTACTGGTTCTCTTAGCGGTGTGTAGTAACAGTGTCGCTCGATCAAGATTGGCTTGCGCTGCACCAAATTGGATTGGTCCAAACTGACGTTCCGTGAAGCAGAAGCACAAATGAGTAGCACAGTTTCGTTCCGCTTTCATTACGTTTGCCATTTGTCAAGTCAAGTCATCTTCATTTATATAGCGCTTTTAACAATGTAGATTGTTTTAAAGCAGATTTACAGAGATAAACATACAATTTACGGTAACAGAGATTGTTTTGGCTTTATAGCGATTTTTGAATAATGTTATTTCCAGCTAAAGTTAGTTTTGATTGATTCACTTCCAGCAATATTATCATTTATTAAATTAGGGGCCACTAAGACGACGGCGTTCTCTCTAAACAGACTTTAAACGCGAACCTGTGACCTGATGGCGTTCATATGCGCATTAAGAATTGATTCTATAGTTATATTCGTTTGAATATATGTGCGCAGGTTTGTAATTCCCCTACAAACCATGCCTAAACAAACTACTTGTCTTGCCTATACATTTGATAAAGAATTTTGTTTTATTTTATCACTTCGGGGTACGCAAACCGGATTTTCAACAACGCTTTATCTGTAGAGTGGGAAAGGGATCCTCATAGGGAGAGGATAGTTGACACTTCAGCACTGCATTGTCATCGGGTCCAGGCGAAGCTCCTTCGTCAGATCTGGATACGCCCTGGATCCGGCAGGCTGCGGGAAAACCTCGGGATAAACAAAGACACTAAAATTAGCGTAGATGCCATTCTTCTTATGATGTAACGAGTACATCTGAAAAGGAAGTGTTCCCAGTTTTCCCAAAGTGTTTCCAATTTGATGTTGGACAACGTCGTGGTGGTCGCACCAGCGACTGCTAACTAAATTTTGGTCTGCAGGAAAAATGGTCCAACAATACGTTCGGTCTGTAATCCGTACCGAACCGAAAGCCTCGTACCGAACGGTTCATGACGAATACGTGTATCGTTACATCCCTACAAAAGAGCTGATAAAAATAAGCTGTTAAGTAGGAGCAATAGCCTTGTGTGTCCTTTGTGTGCACATGGCAACCTGCATTCGAGTCTCATCTCGAAGTTCAGGCTTATTTGTTCATTAATCACGTCATCAGCGACTAGTTGACATCGACTCGACTTTAATCACATAAATGTCGACTTAAAAAACATCATGTTGTTCAACCCCTAGTTCACGGTAATTTACTGGTAATATTCTGGAAAAGGCAGTATGTGATTTATTCTGCCCTCTTTTCACAACTGCAAGCAATCTCTTTTGCATATGAAACATCCCGCCAGAGAGCCTCTGTACCTCAACCAAACTATAAGAGAACCAGTGTTGCGCAGTAACGCGTTACTGTAACGCAGTTACTTTTGACAGTAACTCATACTGTAACGCATTACTTTTTAAATAAATTAACTCCGTTACCATATGGTACGTTGTCCGTTACTTTTTTTAATTAATTCATTTTGGCTGAAGTGTAGCCTACAGCCTAACCTATTTACAGCAGCGACGCATTGTTGGTGGTAGGGTTGCCACCTGTCCCTTAAAATACGGAATTGTCCCGTATTTACAAGTAAAATAATGCGTCCGTATCAAATCAAATCAAGGGACGCGATTTGTCCCGTATTTTACATAAGGCCCACACATAGCCTAGTTGGATAAAAACATAGGCTTTACTATACTAATAGCAAATAGCCTATAAATAAATCAATTTCACAATAATGTTACATTATGATTAGAATCAAATGAATTTTGTCCATTTTCTAAGCTTAGAAAATGCACATTTATACGGACTGAATTTTATATGCCTAAAATAAATATTGTTTAGTAATTATGTGAATTACACTGCGCAAACTACTACCCACCGAATGAAGAAGGGTTGGCTCTCAGTCTCCACAGAACAAAATATTAATTTTATTTTATTTTTAGTGTTCGCATTTATGAGGAAAAAACAATGTTACGGACGTGACAGCTCACCGTTACGGACACGACGCGCTCTGAAAGCGGCACTAAAAGATGCTTTAATACTTTCACAGAGACATCAAACAGAAAGCACAAAACCTTTCTTTAAAGTGAATTTCGTTTTGTATTAATTGTATCTTAATTTTAATCAATGTTTCATCAACCAATTGCCTGGATTTAATAAATAAGAAGTAAATATAGCAGACGATAGATAATCACGAAATGGAGGCGCCGGCGCGTGAACTGGAGCTCGTCTCATAAATGAACCGAAACTCGGCGTATAAGGTAACCTACTTGCCTCACAGACATGTCAACTTTTAAACAGAATTCAAAACGAAAGAAAACAGACTACAGACTGCTCTCTGCTTATGTAATCCGTATGAAATGTGCATTTCTCTCTGGCGCGTCTACTGCGATGATCGCGAGTCAGCATAGTGAGTCACCTCAGAAATCCTTGTGATATATTCAGTTTGTGCTGGTCTGACTCAAATAAAATAGTGTTTAAAAATTACTTTATGTCAGTTTTGTGTTTGTATAGACCATAACACATAAAAGGGCATTAATGGGAACATTAAAGAATGTTTTTTTTAAAGTAACTAAAAAGTTACTTTTAACAGTAACGCATTACTTTTTGGTGTAAGTAATCAACAAAGTAATTGAGTTACTTTTTGAATGAAGTAACTAGTAACTGTAACTAGTTACTATTCCTTAGTAACTAGCACAACACTGAAGAGAACATACTTCATCTTTCAGATGTCCCTGATCAGAAATCTCCATGTCCCCACCATCATCATCCTTCTCCACCTCACTGCTAGCCACCTGCATGATGTCAAACACACAGGGCCATACCACGCAGGAGATTAACATGCCAGTTTGTGTCATTGAGAGCCCAGTCCACATGCGAGGGACTTACAGGATCAGAGAGACAATTTTTTTAAGAAATGGACATAGACACACATACTTGAGATGATTTTCTCCTTTTCTCATCATCTCCCTCTTGATTGCTGCTTAATTCCTTAACAGAACTTGCTCCAGCGGTCATTATCTGCACAAGGGTTTTGGGAATAAACCATTTATTAACCAATTTTCAATACAACAGATTCTTGTGCACAAATATGGAGTGAAACCAGTATCAAAACATCTAAAAAATTTGTGCACTGCAATCCACAAATGCATCCAAAAGATCCACACACTGCACTCGAGATCCACACTCACACAAAAAAGTGCATAAATGCAGACAGCAAATCCCACGCACTACATTCACAAATGGACGCCATAAGAATGCAAATATATAAAGATAATTTGTTCACAATTTATTCTAAAAATAGTGCGTATAGCTTAAATTTTTACACACAAAAATTTTGTTGAGTTGTTTGCATTGGTATTCTGCTTTAAAGGGATAGTTCACCCAAAAATGAAAATTAGCCATGAAGGCATCCTAGGTGTATATGACATTCTTCTTTCAGACGAATACAATTGGAGTTATATTAAAAATTGTCCTGGCTCTTCCAAGCTTGATAATGGAAGTGAATGGCTGTTTGTCTTTGGAAGTCCATCAAAGCGCATCTATTCATGATTAAAGAGCTCTACAGAATCAGACGACCAAGTTATTTATTCTACATTAGTAAACATGGTATTTATTACAGAAACATATTTACTAATTTGGCTTTTCCAAAACTATATTGCTATACTGAGATGAGTGAAATCGACTGAATATGTTGAAATAGAAAATCTCTTTCTATTTCAGTCTTTGATATAAGCAACATATTAGACTAGGATTAACATTTATATGCTTTGTAATTCAAAATGAATATGATATATAATGTTATAAAAGTAATATGAATGCTTAGACTTGATTAATTGGCCTGTTTTGGATGGTGTTTACTTTAAAATACTGCCACATCAGTGAAGTTTTTGTTCATGAATTTCTGCTCGGATGTTTTGAATGTGCTAAATGTCAATTATTTTATCATTTGTATTTGATTCTTGTAAAGCACTTTGTACTGTTGGTTTTAAAAGTCCTTTATAAATAAAGATTAGCTAATAAATAAAGCAGCTTTTGTTCATGAATTTCTGCTCAGATGTTTTGAATGTGCTAAACAATAGGTTTCTATATTTGAATACAAAAATGTTATGGTAAAATGATAATTCATGCATGTGTGGATGACTTTTCAAAAATCATGGGTTTTTTTTCTGTTGAGTGGACATTATTATTATTAATGTTAATACTATAGTTGCTAGTTGCATGATCCTGTTATTAGCATGTTAACTTTCGTAACAAAAAAAAATCCTATTTTTACAACAATCCAAAATAAAACTATTTGCATATTTTACCTTTTTCTTAGAGAGTTCAATTTAACACTAGATTGACACATATTTCATTGTATATAGATGAAGGCATTGCTTTTATTTCTACAAGCGAACAGAACACTTTATCGTGACACTTTGGTCATGGCAATCAATGTCTTTCTGCTAATATTTTAATAATTCTATCTGTCTTTCTTATACAAATATTCAACTGCTTAAATGTACTTTACATGATGAATTCTTGCTAAAATGTTAACAAGGTAACAGGGGCAGTGGGGCACTTGTTGGCGCATTAATCATGGGCATTAAAGCGAAATACTATTGCCAGTGCATTGCTTATGTTTTTGGATTGCTGTGGAGAGGCTGCTCACTGTAGAGTCATGGGTTGAGTGTTAAGTCCAGCTCCCCCTCTCTGAATGTAATTTAGGCCTAATGGGTGGAGTTAGAATATCCAAACACACCGTAACCCTACCCACAACTCTACCCCTCCACCCATTAGACGTCCAGAGAGGTGGAGCTGGACGTCATTTGACTCTGCAGTGAGCACCACTTGTTGCTGTGTGCACAACTGGATCTCTCAAGTGTATTTGTGTATTTCCATATGTTTGGAATATGTATTGCATGCATTGGTGGATTTCTGTGCATGTGAATCTCTTGCCTGCATTTGTGCATGGAGTCAAAATATGGAAGTAATATAATGCCAAATGTTTTTGAAACACAAAAGCTTGTATAATTGCACTAATTGAAAAAAAAATATGCATTGCATTAACCAAGCTTGCATTTTAATGCATTGTATTTTTAGGGCTTGCATTGTTATGGGCTGAAATTCAACATGGTTATATATTTAAGCTGTGAATAATTCAATTTAAAACATTTTCTTTTCTTTTTTATTGTTTTATATATACTTTTAGTAGAACATATTCAAAAGAACAGAACAGGTGTAGAACACTAGGGGTATCACATACAATTATGTTGTTCATATACTGTTAACGTCATATCAGGGGTTACTCTCCCAATAATCTCAGAAGAGTGAGAGGAGAAGAGAGAAAAAACATTAATAATAATAATATCAGGAGAATATTTGTAATAGTCCTTTCAAGTCCCTAAAAGGTTCAAGGTGCCATCATAAAACATACAAATCCTAAATGTTTTCACTGGATAAATATTTCACATACTGAAGAAAGGAAAAAGAAAAGAGAGAGAGAGAGAGAGAGAGAGAGAGAGAGAGAGAGAGAGAGAGAGAGAGAGAGAGAGAGAGAGAGAGAGAGAGAGAGAGAGAGAGAGAGAGAGAGAGAGAGAGAGAGAGAGAGAGAGAGAGAGAGAGAGAGAGAGAGAGAGAGATTCTCAATATGATAATACCAATAAAATGTAAATGTGTGGAAGGGAAGAAAAATAATTGCAGTACACTCACAATATCTCCCTATGTTCACTCCATACTCCTGTCCTGTACATTAGCCATTTTGACCAGTACTTGTAAAATCTATTCATGTTTAATCTTAGAGAGAAGGTCAGTTTTTCCATATCATACATATGACTTACAATCAATATCCACTCTTTTGTTGGTGGACTCTCATGCAGCCATTTCTTAGTTATTACTTTTTTACTAGCAACCAATAATACTTTAAGTAGGTACTTGTCTTGAGTATTAAGATTAGTTGGTATGTTTCCTAAATATATAGTACTGAAACTGTACTCCATCTCGAATCCCAGTATCAATTTTATTTCAGTGACTATCTCTAACCAAAAAGGCTGAATTGTTGGACATTTCCAAAATATGTGAAAGGCATAGAATTAATACATTGTCTCAACAGAGTGCAGATTCCAGATTACCGTTCTGTAAATATTTTCTTTGGGAGTAATAAAGAATCTTATGATATTCTTCCATGAGAATTATCTCCACTGACCTGAACTAGATGTAGTATAACTGTGTTTTACAAATGTTTAACCACTCTTCATCAGATAAAATTATGTTCGCTTCCTTCTCCCACTTACCTTTTACATATAATGTAAAGTGATTTTTAGAAGATTGTATACTTGAATATATTCTTGATATCAGTTTATTGTGAGTCCCACTCTTATACGCATCAATAAAAATATTGATGATATTAGTTTAAATTTCTTCATGATTTTTTTATTATAATGTTTCCTAAGCTGTGAATTAGAGTTCTCAACGGGCCTGAAAATTACAACCCGACCCGACCCGCCCGTGGCTTTTAAAGCCCGGACCCGATGTAACCCAACACATCAACATGAATTATCTGCCCGAACCCGGCCCGCGGCCCGACGCCGATTCTTTTTTTCTCATACACGTAGGCTACTATCATGACCAGCGGACGGGAATTCAAATCAACCTTTAATATTCACGCCTTTTAACAATACAAACAACTGAAACAATACACTTTAAATATATAAATAGGCTATATAAATATGCCTTAAATAAAAATCTTCATACAATAATAAATAAAAAGAACAAAAAAGCGGGCGGGCTACTTTTCACACCACACAATTTTTGAAGAGTTTTTAAACAAAAGGCCTAGCCTACAAACATAATCGTATGCTTATAAGGCATCGTGGAGGAACAGTAGTGCGTGCACAGTGGATGGACTGAGGTGTGCTCTCCTCTTCAATGGTACGGCCAGCCACACTGAATACCCTCTCGCTGCTGCTGCTGCTGGCCGGCACACAGAGCACCTGCCGTGCCAACTGAGCCAGTTTGGGATACACGCTGCTGTTGATACACGTTGCACGCAGCAGCTTTATTTACGGTGAATTTACATGCCGATCTGCTCGCTTTTTTTCTTATCAGTGCAAAACAAACTCAAAATACTCTGTTGATTTTGATCTTACATATACTGTAAGTGTTACACATCATTCAAAACTGTTAAATGTCTTTTATTTGTGTACACTCATAATAAAAACAAAATGTTGTGTTTTTCGTAAAATAAACATGATGCGCGTACTCCCGTCTCTCTCAATGTGAAGTTCATTCTGAAACGCGACAGAAAATGACCTATAACTCCGCGAATGCTTGTCACTGTGACATGAAACATGTCTTTACGAAGCTTGAAGTCTCCATTTTTAAATGATGTAAATCATATCAAAAACAAATATTCTCTGTTTAAGCAATTCGTATGAAAGCAAACATGTACAGTTTCTCCAGCCCGAGCGGATTAGCGTTAATGTGACCACGCCCACATGCAAATTATCCACGCGGAGGAACGCAGAGCTGTTACCGCCCTCATCATCTCAAAACAAAGAATCAGCGACTTCAGTACTGCTCTGCTTTTCATCGAGTTGTTTGTGCTGTGCTGTTTAACTTGGATTTACCTCAGAAGAATTAGAAGAACACGATTTGATTATGAGAATGATTTTTAAGGTAAGACACTAATAGTAGCATGTTATTGTTGCATAAACTTTACATTGTAGCTACTAGTTAAACTGGTGCCAGACTAAAATGTATGTTATGACATGTGATTGGAGTAAAAACATGAAGCCTAATGCTAAATGTATATAGGCGTACATGTACGACACGAGAATGTTTTTATGTTCGATAATTAAACACAGCACAGTAGGCTTGTATGAGTGTTTATTCATGGTGAATATTATAATGTTTAGACCTGTGTTTACTGTTAAATACTGTGTTTGTGGATATCTGCTCAAACGTAGATATGTATAATGTGGTAACAATAATGTTTGAATGAATGAATGAATGAGTTTGATTCACTCGCGCTGTGGGTT